TAAAAGGATTTAGTCTTTTATACCTTTCCATGTAGTCTGGGTCCATTATGAGAGGAGCTGCGTCCCGTGGATGAAGGATTAGGCTGGGCGGAAGATGGACTGGATGGCCCTGCAGTGGTACTTGATGATACGATAAGGGCACCAGATTATACTGTGGTGGTGCCGGGTGATGTAGTGGCTGGGTATTGGATCATACTGTGGTGGTACCAGGTGGTACTATGGAGGAGTAGGGTCATATCAAGGTGGCTCGGGATTCTCCCGCTGCAGGAGTGGCTCAACCTGTGGCAGTGGGGGGAGGGTCAGGTAGCTCCCTCCTTTCTTTTCCTGCTGGGCAGTAATGAGTCTCACCACTATCTCAAATAACAGATCAACATTCTCTCTAAGTGAACCCTTCCGGGCTGCTCGATTCAGTTGGGGTCTTCATCTCCTCATCTATCTGTATCAGTATTTCACAAGGAATGGTTGAGTGACAATTCATTGTTTTCAGTGTTTTCCTAGAGTTTTGTGTAAGGAATGAGTCCGAGAAACGCAACTCTGATACTAACTGTAATGACTCTGAAAATATCTAAAGGAAATAAATGATAATTAAAGTGTGGAAGCGAAATAAATGTTCAAGGTTTACATTCCTTGCACAATAACTTAGAGTACCAATTAGTGTTACGAAATTCACCATTTTGAAAGAAATACAAAGAAATAAGGAAATGAACGAAAAATAAAGAAAACTAGCATTCTATTCGTAACTCTCTTGCGGATCGGGCTCTGGATCCTGCTTCTCTTGATCTGAAATGGTTAAATAAGGGATGAACTACATTAGCCCAGTAAGAATATCACGCTATATTACTAATACAGAAATAAAAATTGGTAAAAAAAAATAAAAAATAGCTAATAAAGCACTAAATTAAGCAAATTCATTTATTAATAATGAAACCATTTACCGTCCACTTACCGTAGTGAGATTTATAGAAAATAATAACATTATATATATATATATCATGATTCCATATGTAATTGGTAACGGGTACACATTATAAATTCATATTCAATAAATCAAACAACAACCTTCCTTTTATCGGCCTACTAGTATCCATGGAGGTTCATAGGGATTTTTTCGCTATGCGTGAACCATTTCTTTCAACATTCGCAATTAAAGAGTCGTCCCCATACCCCGTACGGTATGAGTGCCAAATTACCAAGTCTCAATACCCCGTTCAGTATGAGACAGCGTTCACGGTAAGGTTCCCTATTATACCCGGTCTGTCCACTATCTCCCAGGATATCCAGTAAGGATGTCGTTTCATCCATTCACTTAATAACATAATTTTTCGTTTTCTTTTAGTCTCCATGTTCCAAATCAATCGTAATCACATAAATAAATAAATATGCATCAGAGAATGCAATCATATTTCGATTTTCCAATTTAACAGTAGTCACGTAAGACATTAATACATACATTCAGACCATAAAATCGATAAATCAGATACTATCATGCATTTAAAATATAAGATAAATCAACAAGAATCAACAGAGAATAATTTTTGGTCCTGCCTCCATTAGTAACCCGTAATTAATTATAGATACTTTTTAAGTTTCACAAAATACTATATTATTTTAAATTAAACTTCAATTCCATAATAAAGAATAAGGTGATAGATTCTTACTCGATTTGGTGTTCGAAAGGTTAAACTGTTGACTGCGCCCACTGGCGGTTCCTAAGTTCCCTGAATTTTTCTTCGGGAATCAAAACGTGCTATAAGTACCTATAAATATCCCAAAAAAATTCTAAATCAGTCTCAGGGGCTATTTTGGCCAATTTCAGGATTCCAGCACGGCGGCTTTGCCGTGCTCTAGCGACAGCACTGCCGCTCGCGACGGCGGTCTGCCTTAGATCGATTTTTTTGACCGTTTTTGAACGATTTTACATCAATCCCTGCGAGAAAACATGTTAAGGGGCCTCGGTTGGCCGAAAAAATACAAAAAAACTGAAACTCACCGGCGGCGGGGCTCTCCGATGCGGCGGCTCCTCCGGCTCACGTTGTGGTTGGGTGTTTTGCTCCGGTCAACCTATAGAGAAGGAAACGTTGATCACAACGGTGGAAATATTACACAGAACAGGAATTAGGAAGGGCCTCATCGGAGGCATTTTATGAAATTTCCTATGGCGGCGCTGCTAGGGCTTTGCCTAGGTTTTTCGGCCAATCGGCCGGTCTTTTTGCTCCAATTTGGCCATGTATGTGTTTAAAATTGAATTCTGAGCAAAAAAATTTTTTTTTACTTCTTTTTGCAGTTGAAAAGGGCTCCTGCGCGACGGCGGGTGGCGGCGGTCTCCTTTTTGGCAGTTGGGTCTTCTTCTCCGGCGAGGGGTCTGGCGGCTAGGGTTAGGGTTTGATGTGGATGGAAGTTATTTATATTTGTCCGTATTTGATCTGAGTCGTCCATCGTGTTTGATCTAAACCGTCCGATTGCGATTAAATAGGGAGTGAATCTGGACCATTCATCATGATCCAATCTGGACCGTTCATCGCGATCTAATCTGGGTCGTCTGATCGCGTTCAAATTTGA